GAGCCGCTGCCACCAAACGCTCAGCGGCGCCAAGGCTGGGCCCCAGCCTGCGGCTCGAGGGGCACAGGAGAAAACAACACCGGGACTGGCATCACTGACGTCAGTGCCCAAAGGAAGGGTGCTGACAGATTCATGCCGTGTCGAATGCTACCTCACAGCGGGACAAGCAAAGCGTGGATGAGTTTGGGATAGGGATTCACAGTCACTGGTGACGGATTTAAGGTTCTCTAGGTGAAGGGCTCCTGAATGCCAGGGGGAAGTGCAGGGGAAGAGGTGAAAGCCTTTGACTGAAGCTTGATTTTCTCCAGGAAAGAAACAGCAAAACCTTGAGCAAAGATCCCAGCGTGGAAGACTGAGGAAATCCACTAGAACGAACAGACTGGAAAGTGGCAAACAGGCCTTTTTTAATAAAAAGCACGGGATGGAGTAATGGGAGCAAGAACGTGCTCCAGAGAGGAAGAGCTTCAGTGGGGGCATCTCGCGGGCAGGGGCGCAGGGCAGGGGGTCCCCGCAGGGGCGGCCCGTGGGGCCCCACTGCCCCCGTGCCCCTTCCCGGGCAGCCCGCTGCAGCCGTCGCAGCTCGGTGCTCCATCCGCCCATCCACACAGCCTCTACAGCTCGCCACACACATCCTTCCTGCGGAGCATCCCCCGGCTGCAGGCTCGGGAGAAGCGGGTCCTGCTGCAGCTGCGCAAGGAGCTGGCCCCACTGCAGCCCTGCCTGCCCCACTCCAGCCCTGCCTGCCCCGCTGCAGCCCTGCCTGCCCTGCTGCAGCCCTGCCTGCCCTGCTGCAGCCCTGCCTGCCCCACTGCAGCCCTGCCTGCCCCGCTGCAGCCCTGCCTGCCCCACTCCAGCCCTGCCTGCCCCGCTGCAGCCCTGCCTGCCCCACTGCAGCCCTGCCCGCCCCACTGCAGCCCTGCCTGCCCTGCTGCAGCCCCGCCTGCCCCGCTGCAGCCCTGCTGCAGCCCTGCTGCAGCCCTGCCAGCCCCACCAGCCCCACCAGCCCC